TTAAGTTGAATAATTTTTGGGGACTTTAGTTCATGGTGTTATTCATTGGGATGATGAGATTGTGGTTTTACTTTAAGGTGTTATTCATTGGTACAATGAGATTGAAATAATTGCCCACATTTTTCTTAAAATTATCCTATTGTTATACAAACTTTTTATTGCAATCTCCAAAAATTATCTCATTCTTAACTTTGGGACAATCATGAGGAAAAGAGGATAATTTTGAAGCACTAATTTATTAAATATCTAATATAAGTTAATTGTATTATAATATATAATATATCTTAATTATATTATATTATCAAATTCTACTATAATCGTAAGATAATAAAATATTATATAATATTATCTAATATAACATTACTATATACCATTATTACATATTAGTTAATAGTATTTCATATATTATAATGTTAGTATTATATAATATAATATTACTTAATATTATTTAATATATATTTTATTAGTTAGAATAAAAATATCATTGAAGTATTTTTATGATATAAAATTTTGTATTATAATTCAGTGTTTATATATTTAATATAATAATATATTAATTATATTATAATATAATTTAATATGATAATATATTCTATTATATAGAATATTTTAATTTATACAATAATTTATAGGGGTGGGCGTGGGCCGGGCCGATTTAGGCCCGCTGACGCCGGACATGTTGGGTTCAAGGCAGGGTTGTTCCGACTCCAGGCCCGGTGTTGGTGAGAGGTGGGGCCGATCTATTTTTCCCGGGTGTTGGGCACTGGACAGTAGGCCACGGCCAAACCGTCCCTAGGGGCCAGGTGGGGCCCAGGCCCACGGGTCGTTAGTCGGCTAGTGGTTTTTTTAACATTCTTTCTCAATTTTCATTTTTAATTCTAAACTTATAATTAACATTTTATTTGTATCGGTTAAATTATATTTAAATTATTTTTCTTTTATTTTTTATTAAAATTTTGATTATATACCGCATGTACAAAGATGTATAATAGTCCAGATGAGTATATTTAAAATATACACAGAAAAATATTACAAACACAAAGATGGCTACATGGCTCGGACCTTCGAAAGAAGAGCTAGCACGCGTTAGCAACTTTTTTAGTTTAAATTTAAATTACAATATAAAGAGGAAAAATATGTAACTAAAATCAAAAACTAAAAAACTAAAAACTAGTAATTACAAATATCAAGTCAGTCGCGTCGGAGTCGGTCAATGGTGGACGAGTTAATGCTGGTCGGCCTTTTCTCAGTCCTAATTTTAGCGCTGGACACAGCGCCTCCTATTGACCCATGCTATTCATGGCTGAGGTGGGATCGTGAGTGGGCTGGGCCGGTCAGCTTCGCGCGGCGACCGGCTGCCCTCCACCATAGCTAATTTACTATTTTCTGCTTTACACTTTTATTCCTTATTTAATTATTACTTTCAAATCATTTCACATATGTTGGCTAGTTATAATATTAATAATATTTTTACTTAACTAGATATGAATACGTATAATATTCTATACGATTAAAGTATGTATGATTTATATATCGATGGATGTTATATTAAAATTAATATCAATACAATTAATAAAATTTTTAATTATAATATTGAACCATATTATTCTATATTATAAATATTTTATTCAATAAGGCAAGTCATTAATTATCCATTTAAATTATAGCTAATTATCAAATCAATATATAATTTATAAATATAAAATAGAATTTTATCGTTAATATCTAATATTTGAAATAATATCATATTAAAGAGAAATAAAATTTAATATATTTTATATATTAAATGATATTTATTTTTAAATATTATTTAATATTATCTTCTAATCATATCAATTTTATATTAATATTCATATTATAATAATAATAAATATAATATCATTAATAATAACATTAATTCTTATAATCTAATCTAGTATTATAAGATAAACATATTAAATTTAATATATAAAGTAACAATAATGATATTTATAGTAACATACTAAATAATATACTAAATCAATTGGATAAATAAATTTAGACTTAATTATAAATAAATATATATTTTAATAATGTGATACATCATTCAATTATCAACGTGAATTGTCAAATAAAAAGATTTAAATTATCATATTATCCCCAACTGTCCACTCTTACCCACTCAAAATATCCTTAAGTAGGGCCTGGAGCATGGCTCGGTCAAACCGAAAAAAACCGACACCGAAAAAATCCGGTTTATGAGGTAGGGCGGTTCGGGTCCGGTTTGAAATTTTTATAAACCACGAAACCGACCCGGAACCGACCGAATATAGTAAGCAATACTCCCACTTCCTGATCTCAAACCTACCGACCCGTATCCAAAGAGTCAAAGCACTCAAACCCTAAACTCATTTCTGAATCATTATGGGTGAAAATAATATCATATATCAGTGTTTAAGTGCTTCATAATCTCCTACTCTTGTTGATATCTTTTTTCTTTAACACCAGTTTGTTTGATAGAAGTTTGCCATGAAGTTAGACCGAACAAAGACAACCGAACCGCACCGAACCGACTTGCAATATTCGCGTTCGTTTGAATTATTTCTATATCATATCAATTATTATATAATATCATATTATAATAATATAATATAATATATTAATTAATAACATTAATATACTTATAATTAATTAGTATTTATAAGATAACATATTAAATTTTAATATAAAGTAAAATAATGTATTATATTATAGTAACATACTAAATAATATACTAAATCAATTGGATAAATAAATTTAGACTTAATTGATAAATAAATATTATATTTTAATAATGTGATACATCATCAATTATCCAACGTGAATTGTCAAATAAAAGATTTAAATTATCATATTATCCCAACTTGTCCACTTTACCCCACTCAAAATATCCTAAGTAGGGCTGAGCATGGTTCGGTCCAAACCGAAAAAACCGACACGAAAAAATCGGTTTTATGAGTAGGGCGGGTCGGGGCGGTTTGAAATTTTTTTAACCCGAACCGACCCGAACCGACCGAATATAGTGCAATACTACCCATTCTGATCTCAAACCTACCCGACCCGTCTCCAAAGAGTCAAAGACTCAAACCCTAAACTCATTTTCTGAATCATTATGGGTTGAAAACAATATCATTATATCAGTGTTTAATGCTTCATAATCTCCTACTTTGTTGATATCTTTTTTTCTTTAACACAGTTTGTTGTTTGATAAGAAGTTTTATGAAGTTAGAACCGAACAAACCGAACCGAACCGCACCGAACCGACTTGCAATAGTTCGGTTCGGTTTTGAATTATAGACGGTTCGGTTCGGTTGTTCAAATTTTGGTAAAAACCAAACCGAACCGACCGTTGCACACCCCTAATCCTAAGGCTTCGTTTGGCAAAGGGTTAAGGAAGATGGGTTAAATAGAAGGATTAATGTACTTAGCTCAATCAATACTGATGGACTAAATTATTAACCCGTTAAATAAGTTTTATTTTAGCCATTGTGATCAGTTTTAGTGTTTGGGAATAACAATGATTTTGACTATTTTCTTTATAATTAGAAGAGTTAACTCTTAATTCTTCTAAATAGGAGTATTAGTAAATCACTTATTTTGAGGGGTTAACTCATTTTAATCCCTCTAGAGGGGTTAGCTTAACCCGTCTATATTTTTTATGTTTGGCAAATTATGAAGGGTTAACTCCTTTAACCATTATATAGTTTTTTTTGTTTGGCAGGTTAAGAAGGGGTTAAGTCTCCTTAACCCCTTACTTAACCCTTTGCCAAACGGTTAAGTGAGGTACTGTTTGGCAAAGGGTTAAGTGACGGGTTAAGGAGACTTAACTCCTTCTTAACCCGCCAAACACAAAAAACCTATACAAGGGTTAAAGTGAGTTAATCCTTCATAATTTGTCAAACATAGAAAATATAGAAGGGTTAATCTAACCTCTCTAGAGGGATTAAAATGTGTAAACCCCTCAAAATGAGGGGTTTACTAATACTCCTATTTAGAAGGATTAAGAGTTAACTCTTCTAATTATATTTACTAATACTCCTATTTAGAAGGATTAAGAGTTAACTCTTCTAATTATAAAGAAAATAGTCAAAATCTTTGTTATTCCCTCCTATTTAGAAGGATTAAGAGTTAACTCTTCTAATTATAAAGAAAATAGTCAAAATCTTTGTTATTCCCAAACACTACAAATAATCATAAGGGCTAAAATAAAACTTTTATAACGGGTTAATAATTTAGTCATTTCGATTATCGAATGAGCTAACTATGTTAATCCTTTTCCTTAATCCCTCTTCCTTACCCTTTATCAAACGGGACCTAAAGGGATAAAATTATTCTATTGAAACAATTATCCCACTTATCCCAACTTGTCCCAACCTATAACCTCCCCTTCATGAACATGAACATTACACTTGCGTTTGGCAAACGGTTAAGGAAGAGAGATTAAGAAGAAGGGTTAACTTAGTTAATCCATTGTGAAGGGTTAAAAATATTCTAATTCCATTTGGATTCGCTAGTTCTTAGTTAATCCATTGTGAAGGGTTAAAAATATTCTAATTCCATTTGGATTCGCTAGTTAAGACAAGGGGTTAAGACTTTTGTGTTTGGCAAATGAAAAATATTCTAATTCCATTTGGATTCGCTAGTTAAGACAAGGGGTTAAGACTTTTGTGTTTGGCAAATGAAGAAAGGATAAGGAGATTAATCTCATTATTTTTTTTAAAAAAATACCACTTTTTCCCTTACTGAAAATTTATAACTAATTGCCTCATTAATATCTTTTTTTGCGTTATTTACCTTCTAAGCAATTTCAAAGATTTGAAGCACTAATATGTAATTCAGTTGAGACATGAGGGATAAATAATTTTTTTGAAATAATGCTAAAATGACAATTTGGTATTATTCAATAAATGATTGTTCAGAAGGTAAATTAAAATAAATTATCATTTTTGCATTATTTTAGCTACTAAAGAGAGATAATAAGCTAACAAAATATTATATGGCTTCTTATTTATCAATAAACCTGGCAAAAAAGATTTGATTATTCAAGAAAAAAAGATTTGATTATTCAAGGAAAAAAAATCTACTCAATAGCTCTGTATAAAATTATAAGTTTTGCTCATATAAAGATAGTAAAAGACATAATTCAACCTCCTTATACTTCAATATTCGACAACTACATATTTCAATTATTCCAAAGCTGTAAAGCAATCCTGTTGCGAAGCTGCTCACCCCTTAAACTTTCATCTATACCAATCATGTTTTGGGGGTCTTCTTCCTCCTCCACCTCATCTTCATCCTCATTCATCTCTAATCCATTGAGCATATTAAAGTATTTATCATTTTCCTGATGCCTTGCAATAAAATTATGAAGAACACAACAAGCTACAACGATTTTGACTTGAGTTTTATAAGGAAATGGAGCAGCAACTTTCAAAATTTTGAATCTTTACTTTAAAATTCCCCATGCTTTTTCCACTGCATTACGTAGTTGTGCATGCCTATGATTATATTTTTCTTTAGTATCTCGATAGGCTCTGGTGGTCCCATTTGCAAAATCTCCAAGATGATAGTGTGATCCACGATATGGGGCGATAAATTTTGAAGTATTAGCATATCCCGAGTCAACTAGGTAAAAGCGACATACATATTTAAAATTATCTGACTTTAGTACTAATTGATTCTAACAAAAAGAAGGAAAAATATTAAAAATTACCTTCATGCACATTAAATTTACCATCTTCCAGTGTTGCACGAAGTACTGACATATCAGATGCTGATCCCTCCCATCCAGCAGCCACATAAAGAAAAGTATGATCAAAGAAGCACGCTGCCATTACATTTTAAGATATGAAATTCTTTCGAATACGGTACCTGTTGTGTTTCTTTTTCTTCACAATTACAGGAATATGAGATCCATCAATTGCTCCCAATGCTTTCTACAAATATGAAAATGTATAAAGTTCTAATGTACAGAAACATACACACATACACATTAAAAAAATTTGAAAAAATATATGCATTTAGCTCTACCTTGAAATATGGGAAGAAATTGGGATTCTCTTGAATCTTAGGATGAACGTCTACGTCAGCCATGGGAAGCTGGATATAATCTTGTTTCAAAGATAAAATAGCATTAAGCACATTATTATAATGCCTGCTAATAGTCTCTCCTCAATGTTGGAATATCTCAGCTAATACTTGATTTGAAAGGGCATGCGAAATTCCGTATAGAAATATACAAAGTTGTTCATTGCAGCTTAAATATCTAGTTGGCCTTAAAGCATTCTTCTCAATTAGAACATTTTTAAGCAAAAAAATTGCCTCAAAACTCATTTGAAAGCAAGAACATGAACGATCAGGATGTCCAGCCAACATATCTTCTACAAGCATATGACCAGAGAATGGTCTAGTTTGACATGGTCGAGGAACCTGCTTCATCACATTTTATTGATGAATGACGCTTGTAATCATCTCGTTCCACATGTACTCATCCTCATCTTCATCATTGAAAAGCAACGCCTCTATAAGATCATCTTCATCATCAAGTGCTTCAATATCATCAACACTAAGATTGCTTGCAAAATCTTCAAATGAATTCATCTTCAACCAAATTAAAAACAAAAAAATTAGACAACTTGTTGTAAAGAATGGTAGATATAGTTCAAAAACATTAACTTGATTTAAAATCAACACCTAATAAATTCAAAGATACAAAATGTCAACCCATGCGTGTCTATTGTAACGTGTTTCCATTATATTTTTGATTTTGTTTGTTTGAGAAGTGTGGTATGTCTGCTTGCTTTTGCTTCATGGTACACAGTATTATTGTGCTCTTTAATTTTATTTCATGTGAATTGTGAGCTTTAGATCTTTTTAAATTATTAGTAGTTCTTTAGTGTTATACAGAAGGATGACATGTGATTGTCTAATTGTTTGGCATCTTGGCAACCTCTAGTCTTCTACCATATAAATTTGAGAACCGCACAACATCCAGTGAAATGTTCACAATACCAAGCATAGCATGCCTGATATAACAAGGCAACAATTGCTTAAGAAATGAGGTTTGTTGCTATCAGGACTATGTAGAGGCCTTTCCTTCTGAAACCATGTTAGATAATCAATCCTATAAAAGCTGAAGATGATTACTAGTCAACATTGCTTAAGAAACTATTTGAAAAATATGTTCTTTAACTTGTCATTACTAAATTTATGCTGTACGTTACTGCTTCGTATGCAGGTTAATCCCAGCTTATATGGTGATAACAATACGCACCTATTCATAAATTGGACGGTACAACATGAATATTTTGAGAAATATTTGACAGTTTCTAGCAGAGTTTAAGATTTTTTTTCTCTTTATATAGATCGATGGTTTTCGGAACACAGGCTGTTATGATCACCTTTGTCCAGGATTTGTGCAAGTTAATCCTAGAATTCACCTGGGTGCTACTTTGGGTCCCCTTTCAGTGTATGACGGAATTCAGTACGCCATTAGGCTCCTTGTATTTAAGGTCGGCATTTCATATTTTTCCATTTAAATTTGTATTTTTCTTGTGATCCCTTTTTTCGCAAAATGATAGTTATACAATTATCAGCTGTTGTCTGTTTTATCATTTCTTATTTATTTTACTTCTTAGTATCACTTGAACATGGACAACTTTTCGAAAGCATTACCATTCTTGTTGACCATTAGATCTTATTTTTCTTTATACAACTTCATGAAGCACAATGGCTCTCTGTTGCCCATTCCCTTTTGCGTGTAGGTGTTAAATTTTAATGAATCATGTGATGGATATCTTAATTGATGGGTACATAAACAACACTGAGAAATGTCAGAAATGTTCTAATGTTAGTCTCCCTTAGCGAACATTGAACTTCTATTAACTGGATGGATATCTTAATATTCATTTCTTCTATTAACAAGGATTGCGTCCAAACACCAAGTAAGTCAAGGGGAGGCCTGAAATTTTCCCTCTTTTGTTCTGCAACCTGCATATGTATCTGCTATTTGTACTGCTTCTATTCTATCGGTCAGATATTTCTATAGCCGAATGATTTTAACTCCATTTTCTATAACAGGATCCAACCACTGGAGATTGGTTCAGATATTTCTATAGCCGAATGATTTTAACTCCATTTTCTATAACAGGATCCAACCACTGGAGATTGGTGGCTAGCATTTGGAAAAAACAAAGAAGCAGTGGGCTACTGGCCAAAATCCCTCTTCAACACTTTGAATGATCACGCTACTAAGGTTTACAGGGGAGGTTTGGTTAAAAGTCCTATCAATGAACCTAGTGCTCCTATGGGAAGTGGGCATTTCGCAGCCGAAGGTTTAAGAAGAGCTTGCTACTCGGCGGATCTTTATCTTGTCGATGGCTCAAATGGCTACATGCACATTCCTGAAGATGAGGTTGAGTTTCGTCATAGTGATCCTGGATGCTATAGGACTACTAGGTATCTTACGAACATGAATTTTGGCTCCCAAGGTTTCCTTTTCGGGGGGCTGGCAATTGTGCATTAATGATGGTTTAATAGTACGTTAGGTTTTGTATCTATCTTAACAGAGTAATGAAGACATGTTGTATCACGTTTGGGGAGGTAATCAAAATTCATGGAGTACCTAATGTTGATAAAATTCCAAAATATCAGATTGTAGATTCTGTGGAGAAATGCAATTATAAGGAAAACCAAGTAATTGATGGGCTGATGCGCAAGGTGCATGTCCTAATGTATAATAAGGACAATGTCAACAATGACCGAATCATAAGAAGCATCACCTGTGCACGTAACATCCACAATATATATTTAAGTATGGAAGATTAGTGTTCTAACTGAAGCACTAGAAAACAATCCAAAAAGAAGAAAGAATCAATAAACTGGAAAAACAGCCCCAAAGCTCGACAACGAGCACCATTTCGAACCATAAAACCCAACAATCGAGAGCTAAACAAGCTCGAATCATATGTGTAACTGGAAAAACACCCCCAAAGCTCGACAACGAGCATAAATTCGAACCAAAAAACCCAACAATCAAGAGCTTAACAAGCTCCCATCATATGTGTCAGTGGAAAACAACAATAATACATTCTGCAATAAGTAAATTACAAATGATAGCATATATAAAACTGATATGATAGCAATAATACATTCTGTAATTACAAGGAAGAACAAAGTTTACCTGGTATGATAGAATATATAAAACTGATAATTTGACTCGCCAAAGCTAAGTGCTTTGATGTTATGGACTTCAAAATTGATACCTGAAATTACAAATTCACACGAACATAAAAACTCCTTACAAATACACAACATATACACAACATATAGGGAAGTCATAAAAACTCCATTCAAATATACATCATCCTTGCAAAAAGATTATCTAACATAAAAATCATCAAACATATGATATAATCTAAACATTACAAAATCATAATTTGATTGTCTGACAATAAGAAAATTACTCTTTTGAACATGAACTTCAATTAAAAGCAAGAAAACATACTACTAAACTAAATTTGATTAGTCTTGACTCTTGAGACTTGAACATAAAATATCAATTCGGATGAAAGTTTTGTTTCTCCTTAAGTAAGCTGACAAATGCCCCCATTTCCTGCATGTTGCTGTTGATAAACACGTAAAATATGCATTATCTTAGTGTGTTTCAAGCATGATTTACGAGCGTTTGATGCATATTTCGTGTTTAGATCGAGGATACTGCTATTGTTTGTGTTCTTATATGTAGGTATTGGCTCAAGATTGAAAGATTTGATGATCGTTGGAAGTTTTACAAGAGTTTGAAGCAACAACAAGATTTTGAAGGCATGGTTCGTGAAGAAAATGGATGCACGAGTATGAAGAACTGGAATTTCGACCATGATGCAGTTTGAATCAAGAAAAACTCAAAAGATGAAAGTTGTAGATCTCTTCAACAGGATTCCAATGCAGCTTGAATCACCTCATTCCGAGGTCGGACGCAAAAGTTATAGCCAAAATACCAAAAACTGAAGAAACAAGCACAAAATCAGCAAACCAGCCCCTACCACACCCTGGTGTGGTGCAGACCACACCGGTGGCGCGGGAATTACTTATTTTCCAGATTTTTGGGGACATATAAATAGATGTTTTGACTTAGGGTTTTGGATATCTTTTGTTATGTTCTTTTAGCCATCAACTAGCAACTATTCTAGGGTTCAAGTATTGAAGGAAGACATTAATCTCTTGTAGAAGATTGGATTGCAAGTTCTTATTTTAAAGATTTCAATTGAAAGACGGGTTAATTCTTTCATCTCTTTGATTTATTTCTTCTTATGATTGATTTGCATAATTATTTGATGTCTTCTCTTATTCCAATCATGTGTGAGTAGATTTCTTGTCTAGGGTTGGGAAAGAACCCAACTTTTTGGTGATTGATGATGAATTAATATATGTTCTTGGTGAAAGTTTAGATCTTTAAACTTGATTTTTAGTGTTTTAATTTTGTTGATTCGCTCGATCACCGTATTTGCAATCATAGGTAATTAATTGAAGGACTGAAAGGTGAAGATTAATACCGGATCTCTAGAAATTAAGCAGGGAGCTCGAACCACGAAAGTAGGCTAGATTCCTTGGGGATTTGATTTGGATTAGCATAAAGCTTAATGGGTTTAACTTAATCTTGATTCCACGAAAGTAGGTTAATTGAGATTGATTAGGCATGATCTTTAGACCTTGAGAGAGGCTTTAGATTAATTTAGGCTAATTCACCCTTTCTAGATTAAACCAACACTAAGAATTGAAATAATTCATCATTGAACACCTAAGTTGTGGTGATAACCTAATCCTAGTCCTTCATTATATTGAATTCCATCCGATTAGTTGTTTATTTTATTTCTTTTATTAAATCTCTTCTAATTTACTCATTAGTTTAGCTAGCTAGTCCTTGTGGGATCGACCTTGATAGCTACAACGAGTCCGTGCGCTTGCGGATTTGCCCTATCAAGTTTTTGGCGCCGTTGCCGGGGACTACGGTGTTAATATTGAGTGCTTACGTTATTAAGCTAGACTAGATTTTTTTTTATTTCTCTTTGCTTCTCTCTTTCTTTTATGCAAGGGAATCAAACAGAAGTAAACGACGAAAACAATCCTGAACTATGGGTGACCCTTGCAAACATAAGAAGGTCTATAAGGGAGCAAAGGAACACAGAACAAGCTACGATGGGAGATCAAAATCAGCTTCTTAAGGATTTCGCAACCCCAAATTCTCAAGGCACACAGTCAAGCATTACAAGGCCCAATGTTGAAGCTAATAACTTTGAGCTGAAACCATCACTGCTCTCAATGGTTCAACAGAATCAGTTTGGAGGAGGTGCTACTGAAGACCCGAACCTCCACCTGTCAATTTTCTTGGAGTATTGCGACACTTTGAAACTTAATGGAGTGACCAATGATGCTATTCGACTCAGATTATTTCCGTTCTCTTTAAGGGACAAGGCTAGGGCTTGGTTACACTCATTGCCAGCTGGGTCCATCACCATTTGGGATCAATTGTCCAGAGCGTTTCTTGCAAAGTATTTTCCTCCAAGTAAAACAACACAGATGAGGAACCAGATCACAAGCTTTGTACAGAAGGAAGGAGAGTCACTTTATGAAGCTTGGGAACGCTACAAGGAATTATTGAGGATGTGCCCTCACCATGGACTGGAGAAGTGGTTAATTGTTCACACCTTCTACAATGGGCTCACTTACAACACACGGATGACTGTTGATGCTGCTGCAGGAGGAGCTTTGATGAACAAAACAATAGACGAGGCATACACTCTCATTGAAGACATGGCTCAGAATCACTATCAATGGGCGAACGAGCGTGCTCCTCAGACATCAAAAGGAGGCAAGTATGAAATAGATGCTTTAGACCATATATCCTCTAAAGTTGATGCTTTATTTAAGAAAGTTGAAGGTTTGAGTATTAATTCTGTGGCGTCTACTTCAATTTCATGTGAGATATGTGGCTATGTGGGTCATTCTGCACTTCAATGTCAATTAGGAAACCCCCCATCCATTGATACTTCTGGTAATGAGCAAGTTAACTATGTTAATAACTTTAATCAGAAGGGAGACCCATTCTCCAACACTTATAATCCGGGGTGGAGGAATCATCCTAATTTTTCTTATAGAAACCCACCTGGAAATTCCATGTCCGCATCTAATTTTGGTCCTCCTGGTTTTCGTCCCCCTCAATCCAATTTTCCTTCTCAAAAGTCAAATTTGGAAAATATGATGGAGAAGTTTGTGATGACTCAATCAAAATTGAATGAAGAATTTAAGCAACAACTACAAACCACGAATGAGGTAGTAAAACAATTGGCCTCTAAGATGGATTCCCTAGCTACGCATAACAAGATGTTAGAGACACAAATCACCCAATTGGCACAAAATGTTAGCTCTTCCTCTAGGCCTTCAGGCATGCTACCTGGACAACCTGAGACGAATCCCAGAGGTCATGTGAATGCTATAACCCTTAGGAGTGGAAAACAATATGAGGGACCTAAGATGAAGGAAAATGATGCGGTAGATGGTCATCATGAAGAGAAAAATAAAAATGTGATAGATGTGGATACTGATACTAACAAAAGGAAGTTGGAAGAATACGAGACTGTGGCCCTTACTGAGGAGTGTAGTGCTATCATCCAGAATAAGCTGCCTCCTAAGCTTAAGGATCCAGGTTCATTTTCTATTCCTTGTGTTATTGGTAATGTCTCTATTAACCGTGCTTTGTGTGATTTAGGTGCAAGCGTAAGTTTGATGCCAATGTCCATCTATAAGAAGCTTAGCATAGGAGATTTGAAGCCAACCACGATATCACTCCAACTGGCGGATCGATCGGTAAAATATCCGATAGGTATACTTGAAGATGTACCTATCCAGGTCAGTAAGTTCTTTATCCCGGTTGATTTTGTTATTTTAGAAATGGAAGAAGATTCTAACATCCCAATTATATTAGGAAGACCCTTCCTTGCTACTGCAGGTGCTATAATCGATGTTAAAAATGGAAGTCTCTCCCTAAATATTGGAGGGGAGAAGGTAGAATTTGATTTGAGCAATGCTATGAAAACCCCTCTAACTGATAAAGTTTGTTACAGGATCGACGTGATTGACAAGTCTACACATGAGCAACTTGCAAACCATTACTTAGCTGATCCACTCGAGAAGTGTTTGGTAAGTGACGATTCAATAAATGATGAAGACCCGGAGGTAGTCGTGTATGCTCAATCTTTAGAATCAACATCAACTGCTCCATTTCGAAATGCAAAGTTTGAAAGTCTAAAGTTAAAGTCAAAAAGTTCTACTTGTGAAGAGGATAAAGCACCCATAGGCATGACATCGTTCAAGTTGGTATATGACAAATCGTGTCATCTCCCAGTTGAGTTAGAGCACAAGGCGTATTGGGCTATCAAGTTGCTAAATTTCGATATGAAGACCGCAGGTGAGGAAAGAAAGCTTCAACGTCATGAGCTAGATGAGTCACGATTAGAATCCTATGAGAATGCTCACATTTATAAAGAAAAGACTAAACGATGGCACGATAAGAATATCCTTCGAATAGAGTTTAATCAAGGAGATATGGTATTACTTTTCAACTCTCGTTTGAAGCTTTTTCCGGGCAAGCTCAAATCTCGGTGGTCCGGACCTTTTCAAGTCCGTGAGGTTTTTCCTAGTGGAGTTGTTGAAGTTTGGAGTGAAACAACGGGATCTTTCAAGGTGAATGGGCAACGATTGAAGCACTATATTGTAGGTGAACAAAACGAGAAAGGGGTCACTTATACCCTTTCCGATCCCCCTTCGTCGGAGAATTGAGCGCAAAAGGGGTCGAGCTCATGACTATAAACGAGCGCTTCTTGGGAGGCAACCCAAGTTTTCATCCATTTTATTTATCTTATTTTATTTCACTTTAATTTAATTTTATTTTATTTTATTTTTAGGCAATTGGAGCGGCACAATTTTAACTTATAACATTTTCAATCATGCAGGTGAGGAGAAGGGAAAACAATTCTTTAAAAAAAAAAACTGCAGAAAAAGGAGTTCAAAAGGGGTGGCAGAGCCTACCAAACCCAGGGGTGGTGTACACCACACCCACGGTCCACCGGAAAAAGAATACAGACCCTACCACACCTGTATGCCACACCCGTGGTTCGAAAAAAAAACCTCTTTCTCCCATCCCCGTGATCTAGCTTATCAAAACTCCTCCCCTTCTCTTTCGTTCCAAAATCATCAGCCCCCCATCCACAAATCACCGCCGCCCCCATCCCACACCCTTCTCTGCCCTAATCCACACCTAGACCACCGACCAAACCTCGTCTTTCCCCTCTATCGCCGGCCTCCACACCGCCGTTCCAGACCACCAACTCCGACCGCCGCCTCCCTCAAGCCAAGCTCAGCGCCACCGTTCTCATCCCTCAACACCTGATCCCCCAAACTCCGCCTTCACCCTTCACCATCATCTCCGACTGCCGCCCCCTTTTTCATCGCCGATTACCATTGGAACTCCGCCCCATCTCAGTTCAACACCGCCCTGACCCCCTCTCCTCCTTTATCACGGCGACCAACTTCTCACCTCTTCAAGCCGACATCCTCAAACCACCGATGTGTTAGACCCTAGAGGGAGGGTGATTAGGGTCTTATGCTAATCTAATCCGATTTAATGCCAATTAAAATTAATTAATAAGTTATCCTAGCAATTCATCTCCTCTTTGACCACTGATTCGAACAGCCGCTCCATCTTCTTCGACCTCAGATTCTACCCTCCTCAAAGGACTGAGCCGCTCCAACCTCATACTAGATGAAAAGGATTATATGAACTAGTGGAATGGAAAAGAAAAAAAATCTACTGATGAGTTTGAGCCAGGACCAGTTCCCCCTTTAAGACCAGTTGACAGGTTTGGATTTGTTAAACAGGATCAGACTAACTCTTAGGAAGGCTCAGCTAAAAGCAAACCCATCAATGAACATGAGAGGGAAGAAAGGAGAATTAGGAAATGGAGAAAAATGATAGGTGTTGGTGGGAGAGATTGGAAACATTATGTCAGAAGAAAACCTAATGTTGTTAAACGGTGTATCAGGAAGGGGATTCCTGATTGTTTGAGGGGACTTGTTTGGCGGTTGATTTCTGGAAGTCGCGACCTCCTGCTTATGAATCCTGGAGCTTTTGAGAAACTTGTGATATGTGAAACATCTGCATCAGAATTGGACATAATTAGAGACATTTGGCGAACTTTTCCTTCACATGTCTTCTTTCAACAGAGACATGGGCCAGGTCAAAGACGAGTCGCTCACTGTTCAGAATAAATCTTATGCGCGACCAACCAATTTAGTGGCTTAAAGTATCAAAGGAGAGGAAGAAATACCCGACGGAGCATTTGCTGTTCTGACCAGTGAGTAGGTACATCCGCTGCACCCTTGCACTCATTTCTATCTTATTACATTGAGGACAATGTAGATCTTAAGCTTGGGGGTGTGGGTTGTTTATGCATTGATTGCTGTCGATAATTGCCTGTTTTTCTTTTATTTTAGTTCTTCTTTTACTTTGTTTCTAAAAAAAACCAAAAAAAACAAAAAACAAAATAGGGAAATGATCTCCTGATGATGACATGAATCGTTAACCTTTATCGATCATTGAACTAGATAGATGCTCATTAATTGAGACTTGACAACTTCTTATACCATCTTTCAATTGATTCTAAAATGCTTTTGATTGCAAGTTAACAATATGGGAGAACCGGACTTGAATGTTATCTTGTCTTATAGGATTTAGCATTTATGCGGCTAGCGTCATAACCATTACTCTATTGAGACAAGAGGGGAATTAAATTTGGTAGACAAATAAAACCCGTGAGATTTTGAGCCTGAAATTGGATGCATTACATATCCAATCATTATTTTCTTTGCTTGTGTGATATTCTCCAATGGTGTAGGATACTAGAACTTGCATTGAATCTCTTCAAGGCCACATATAACTTTTGTATGCATAAAAGGTGATTGAGGCACATTTTTGTTTATAGTCCACATTTGCCAAATAGCCTACCATGCACTATTGTTCCCTTGAGTAGCCCCCTTGAGCCTATGAGCCTAATTTTTGTTGATTAAACCCACATATGTAACCTTCAAAATCCAATTGTATCCCTTACCCATTGTCTAAGCTAGTGGAGCACAATTTATGATATAACGGGTTATGTGAGCAATGAAATGTAAGATTGAGGGTGTGAAAGTAGGTGTTTGCTTCTTTTATACAAAAAAAAAGGAAAAAAAAGAAATGAAATTGAGAAAAAAAAGATGAATAAAGTGTCCTCTTTATGGTGTATGTAATTGCGGGTGTAGAAAGAATTCATTATGGCATACTAAAAGGAGTAGTTGGAAGAAGTTCTTTAATAGATGATGGAGTTTGTTTGAATTTCATTGATCTTATTTTGAGATCAAATATTTTACAAGTATCGCTCCACTAGTGATAGGCTTTCAACTACAATCCCAAATATATATCCTACCTTTTGACCCTAGCCCTGTTACAACCAATAAAAGACCTCATGATTTTTTTGCATGCATTAGTTTTCGAAGTGATGGAGAATTGAGATGAAATGCAAGCTTATGGATTGAATACATCCATTTGGAAGAATTTTGAGCGATACAATCCTATCCTTAAACACATGAGAGATTGAGAGTCCACTTATCCTAAAGTGAGGTTTACCAATTTAACTACCTGAAGGTCTCAATTTTAGTACTTCGGGATTGAAGCTAGTTACATGAATTTCTTTTTCCTACTTTGACTTGAGAATTGGATAGGATGGCTATCCTTGACTTGTGACGCTTGTGATCATAAGTAAAGTTTAAAATGCGATTTTGTTGAGAATTTTGGAAATTAATTTGTTAAGTCCCGATGTCATGAGCTTACGACATTCGTGATTGACCCTGAGAAGTTTGAGAAAACCCTTGCCAGCTTAGTTGATTAAATGATTCACTTTGGAACTGGTGCATTTGCAGTGGTTGATGTTGGAAATTGTAAATAGGCGATGGATAACCGGTCATTGCATTTTGTAAATCCATTTGTTTATTGTAAATAGGCGATGGATAACCGGTCATTGCATTTTGTAAATCCATTTGTTTCTTGAGCCATGATAATAGCATTTGACCGTTAAGCATATTAACGACATGCCTATTCTCCTTCTTTTTAATAGCTTCTACTCCTGCCACACATAGATCACTAGTTACACCTAGTAAATTCATTATCTTATCCATGCACTATTTCATTTCAGTGGGCACCCCTTTCTTGGAATCTACTAGCTCTTTCGTAATTTCAACTCGCTGCTTTTGTAGCTCAATCATCTTTGACAAATTATTTTCAACTTCAATACCCGATACTCGACGACGAGAAATATTTTTAAACTTACGCTTTAAACCCGATGGTTGAGCGTGATGCTTTATGGTTGGAGTGGAAATAGGTATTGGTTGTGATGGTGGTTGTGGACTATTAAAAGGAACTTGTGTCTCTTCAACTTCTTGTACCTCCTCTCTTGTTTGGTGTGAAAGTTAATATCTTCATTGATGTATTCATTACAACTTCAGTCGTTACAATAAAAACAAAAAAATAGTCTTTTTATAAGACTCTTACATAATAAAAACAAAAATTACAACTCTTCTCAAACAAACGCAACAGACGTTTATCACCCGCTGTTGCGTGTGATCTTTGCCTGTGCCGGGGATGTTAATATCCATGGACCACCGAATGATCAGATTAATCTGGAATTTCGTTGATTCAAGAAGGAATCAAGAAACCGAATCAATTATCTCGGCAATAGTGAGATAACCACTCTTCTCGAGATCGCAGCTAGGTACGATCTCAAGGAAAGGGACCGGGCTATGGATCTGACAAACTCCTCTTCCTTATATCGAAGAACTCGATCTGATCTCCTCCTCCTCTCTGAAATTCGTGCTCTTCAATCTCTGATTCAGCAGGGCTTCGTCAAGGCTCGAGAATTCCAGATCCGTGTAAATAAAGGCCCTAGAGCTGTATTTATAGGCTTCGAGACCTCCATTTTCAGATAAGAATAACCGATTCACTCTTATCTTCAGTTATAACCACTTTATCATGTTCTTGGATAATATTAGATCAGTTGGAACAAACCCAGGTGGTTAACGGGCGAAAAACAACTCAAAACTGTGTAAAACAACTTTTTAGGTTTGCGGACACTCGGCTCGGCCACGGCCGAGACACCTCGGGTGTCTCGGCCACGGCCGAGACACCTCGGGTGTCTTGGCCTTGGCCAAGACAATCGCGATGTCTCCGCTAAGATCCGGGGCATTGTTTTATGCGTCCTGTCCGTTTTTGTCGTATCTTCGTCGTCCGAACTCGGAATTGCGTAATTCAAAGTATGAAGGAAAGCCGACGAGGAGATCTAAAAGCTCCTATGGTTGAATCACATGTGGAGTAGATGGGACATGAGGGGAACTTCATGTTTCATAAGCGAAGCATAGCTCCCGATCAGTTCGTATCTTCGTTATTCTATAGTTCTGTTTCTTCACACGGTTCGTCGACTTATGATGCGGCATAAACATGTACCAAAAAGGTTGCAAGTGTATAACCGTGTCAAGTTATAGTATTTAAGATATCGATCCCACGAGGAAGGTGTTTTGTAGGAGAAAATATGAAATCAGTTCTTATGTTGTGTGCGTGACAAGTAGGAGTGATAAGTGAATGTGATTGTGAAGAGATTGAGAGAGTGAAAATAGTGTGTAAATAGGTAAGAGTGGATTTGAAAAAGAATGAGTATGATCAATAAGGTGAGAAGGAAAAAAAATGAATAAAATTA